TGCACAGAAACAGATGAGGGAGAGAACTATTTAAAAGGGATATATGATTGGGTATTATTGCCATGACAGGACTCAAGAATGAAGGCTACACAGTAGAGTTGACTTTGTGCAAGGGATTGTATAACAATGAAAGAATTTTTTTTTCAAGGAAAAGTGTGAAGTGGGGGGGCAGGAGTGGGCAGGGAGAAAAGTGCAACAATGACTGGAAACTCTAAGTCTCTGTAAACTTTCATTAAATTAATGAAAAAAGAGTATTGATTATAGATCTAAATATAATTAAATTATTGACAATTTCAATCTTCTCTCCATCTGTCATGATGCTGCCTGTGATGAAGATTTTCGTTTACTTGATGTAGAGATGTATGTAATCCATGCATACATATTACAATCCAAATTAATTCAAGGATATGACTCTGGTAAAAAAAATTATAAAAGAGTATTTCTAACTTCAAAATTTTTGTCATCTAGTTAGAGATAAAGTAAAATATAAGATACTAACATAATATAAAGTATAACATATAATAAGTGCTAAGATAGTTTTAATATTTCCTGAGAACATAAGTAAGTAAGGTAAATGTTACATTGATATACTATGATGGCTTCACGACCTGAGCAAGAGGGCTGGTAATATCGTAGCTAAAGAATCTGGATGCTAACCCAGTGGTTGGTGGTTTGAATCCACCAGACACTCTATGGAACAAAGACATAGAAATATGTCTCCATTATGATTTATAGCCTTTGTCATTTTGATCAATTATACTCTATGGTAGAACTGGGTCAACTCAGTGCCAGGTGAGCCAGAATTAACTAGATAGCAATACGCTTCTGTCATGAACATTAGGATATCCTACTAAGACATCACACTAGGAGAAGGACATTACACTTGACAAGGTAGGGGAATGGTGAAAGAGAGAAAGACCCTCAACGAGGTCGATTGACAGTGATTGCAGCAATGAGCTTGAGTGTGTTGGAGATTATGAGGAAGGCACAGGATAGGGCTGGGTTCAGATCTACTGTTCATAGAGTCACTATGAATGGTACTCGACTCAATGGCACCTAACAACAAGAAGTCATCATCTATGTTTCCATTTATCACCCCAAATAAAAAGTTATTTTATTCAATCTTGGATCTACATTCCAAACATGTGTCTCTATTAAAAAGGTGGTGCAGGCTTGAAAACAATATCAGTCTTAAAAGATTGTAAAAGGGTGTATATGAGTTTGGACAGAGATGTGAGACAACATAATTTTGAGCAAATTTCTGAGCTTAATCGTTAAAACCATTTTAACGAAGCTTCCCTAACTCACTGGTTGGTGAGCTGCAGTTGACTCAGAAGCCTTACTGGTAGTTCTTCAAAGTAGTTGCCACAGATTTTCAGTTGTTATAATTCCTGGAGGGATCATAAACAAAAAACTAGAGAGAATCTCATCAGACAACTCATACAGAAAGAGCTCACTATCTGCATCTGTCCTATAAACTTCTCATCAAGTAATTTTAAAGTGTAGAAAATAAAATGCAATTCTCCTTTATTAAAAGGCTTCTAAATGATGTTGGATAAATATAATATGGAACAGAAGTACCGTGGAAAGGGCTTTGCAGTAGGGCCAATCTAGCTTTTAATCCTGAATCGGGCACCTTCTTGCAGCATTGTCATTGGTACATAACCCCCAAAAATGTCCATTTCCTCATTACTGAAATAGAGCTATTGTTGATATATGCCACTGAGTTTGAACTCAAACTCAGAGTCATAGCTGACTCTCCAGTGTGTTTTCAGAGGCAATAAATTGCACAGGAGGAAATTGCTCTTCCTTCTCCTGGTAGATTTTTATCATGTGCTTTTGAGATTTCAGTGCATCTTCTTACCATTAGGAACTGCAGTTAATGTCTCCTATTTCTCTAAGAACTTGTGATGGTTAAGAGTGGAAGCCCTTGCTAGTTTCTGATTTTAGCTGTTTTTAAACAACATGTTAATAAAAAGAATTAAATTATTGAGAACAATTCTTGAAATTAATTAAAATAATACTAGTGCTAGAAAAGTTCAAAATACATTTTTCAAAAATCCAGTCATTAGTTACAGTTCAAAATATTAACATAAATCTTTAATCTGAAACTGTTCAAAGACAACTTTTCAACAACACTGTTCAAAAACAAATTCACTTTTCAACACAATAGGTATTAAAAACTGAGAAATACTACCTTCTTTCACTTCTAGTTGCTATCACAGTTCAATAAGCACAAAGTCTGAAACATCAGAGGCAAACATATCAACAAATAAAGTTAAATTCAGGTACCTCTTGAAATTGGAATACTCTGATACAGACTTTGTAAGAAACTCGTGTAAGTTTTCTATTTCAAGTTTTCCCAGTGACATGTGTTGGGGAATTTACGTCACCCTTCTATTTTGTGGTGGTAAGGGTTTCTTGTTTCAAAGGGCTTTCCTAGCTGCTGACTTTGACTGTGCAATCTACAGGGACAGGGATATGTGAATAGGATGTATTAGCCTATCCACAATGGGATTGGCTAGTCTCATCACTAACTTGAGCAGACGGAGTGGCAGATTTTGCGAATATCATAAGGAAAGAGCAAGAATGCAGTGTGTATCTGTCATGACCAGAAATTCTGCAAGCCAGATCTATAAGAGAACAGCTGCACCAGAGAATCAGAGACCTGACATGAGACAGAGCTGCCCTGGGACTGCTACCCTACAGAACCAGCAGCAGAAGCCTTTGCTCAAGCTTTCTGGAGAACTTGGAGAGAGGCACTGTTAACTGGTAGTGCCTAGGTTAGTAAAACTGATGTAAAGCTGCAAGGCTGAAGAACCTGCAAGCCTACTCAAATGCTGTCCTGACTGAGAAATTGTATATTGTTGCCAACTTGAATTGTAATGTGTCGACTTCTCTAATACACCTCAAAATCTTGATTCTGTGCAGTATGTAAGCTACTGTGATGAATTTTGGTTCCATTAAAACAGTAAAAGTGGTGTTGGAGTTAGTAGGAAGAAATATGAGAGCATGGAAAATACGCCTGAACTCATGGGAATTGGATTTGTGGATGTTGTTGATGAGGGCAGTTCCCCCTTGTGGAGTTAGCAGATGTAAAATATAGCCATCCCACATTGTCCTTGCTCCTTGTATATACTTCAACTATAAAACAAATATAGTGAAATGTAATGTCATTCTGGAGACAATTTGCACCTGATAGGACATGGTCTATCAGAGAGCTGGACAATGACTAGGGATGAAAGAAGGAGAGTTGATGCCTTTGAGCTGTGGGGTTGGAGAAGCGTATTGAACATACTATGGACTGCTAAGAAAATGATCAGGTTCATCCTAGAGAGTGTTAAACCAGGCTGCTCCTTGGAGGCAAGGATTCTGAAGCTTCATCTGACATACTTTGAACATGTTGTAAGGAGGGCCAAGTCCTTGAAGAGGGACGTCATGCTTGGGAGGGTGGAGGAACAGCGTAGGAGAGGAAGACCCTCAATGAGATGGATTGATTCAGTGACTGGGGTAATAGGGATAGCTATGTTAGAGACAGTGAGATTGGCACAAGATAGAACAGGCTTTAGGGCAACTGTACATAGGGTCGTTATGAGTTGCAGGTGGCTCGATGGCACATAACAACAACAACAATGTTAACTACAAAAGAGTACAATCCAGTGAGTGCCATTCACTTTCTATTTCTTACAGATTTGTGTGCTGCTGTGACAATCTGTGGTATATTCCATAGAGAGTGTCTCTGCTAACCCTAAGTCAATGCCTCCGTGGCAGTATGAATCCATTAACAGCTCCATAGCAGAAGGACTGCCAATCTCCTCCCACACAATCCATAGCCTCACAAATCCAATGGAGGACCAAGTAAGAGTTGGTTTCAACTCAATGACAATGAGGGAGTTATTAACACTTTTCCAGCACGTGACTGTTAAGTTTCTTGAAAAGGATGCTAGTATATAAGGTAGTAATGGAGTTGGTTTGAGAAAATACCAATCAACTATTAACAAAGTCAAGGATCTCAAGACTGATCATGGTACCATGATAAGTTCTAGCATGTTACTAACCCTATGATGAGTCTGGAAGCTTCAGTGGCCATCTTAACTCCAACACTGATTCCCTCTATCACCTTGGACAAGTTCATACCTTGAAGCAGCAGTTTCCTTCACTGTTAAATAAGAACACTGAAAACAATATTCTGAGACATTTCCCTGGCACAACTAATGGCTATTAGGAGATCACCTTTTCCAGCAAATCTTGAGACATGAGATAGTATGATTTAAAGTAAAGAAAAAAATCTATACTGAAAGAGATGTATTCATAAAAACATTAATAGTAGTGATTGCGGAATGGCTTAAGGCTAAAGCTTGATGTGTTTGAATTATTTTTATCTTATATCAACCCTAAGTTATAAACTAAAAAATAATGATAAATTTATTTTAAAAAAAGTGTTGCTGTGCACCATAGAGTCAGAACCAACCCATAAATGACCCTTCAGAGGGTTGTTAGAGTCAGTTAATTGAGTCAGTTAGTTGCATGAGAGGAGATTGCCCATCCTTCTCCCACAGAGCAGCTGGTGGCCTCAAACCACATGCCTTCGTGATTATAGCACAGCTTCTTACCACTAGGCCATCAGAGCGTGTCTAAAACCACTTACAACTTAATCTGTAAATGATTTCTTGTTTAGTCCAATAATTCAAGGTTCAGTAAATTTCATTCTTAAAGACTCAGAGACCATTTTTCTTGTTCAAAATATTAACCAATACCCAGTTATTTCATATATCAAAGAAATATTTGCATTTAAAAACTCAAAAATATCTTGCTTTATGACACTTGATATATTATACATTAATCTAAGTCTTGATAAGGGAGTACAAACTTGATTTTCTTCCAAAATTAATATTTGGAAATGTGTATTATTTCTTCTTTGGAACACAGGATAATCTAGAATATAAATGACTATACTGAAAGAAAGCTTACCTGGCTGAAACACAGTTTCAGCTTTTCGTTTGTCTGTTCTGGGCATTTCTCCAGCTGCTTTTATAAATGATAATAGAACAGGATATTAACTTTTAGAGAGTGAGCTGTCTGCAACAGAGTTATAATAGTCAAAGATCCAGTATTAGAGCTGGTCAACTGGTACAGTAGATCTTTTAAGCCTGAGCCTAATTAAATTAATTAACTAAATTATACAGTCACTTATTCCAAAAAAATTAAGGCAGCTTAACTAAATACAGCATGGCTAATAAATAAAATTCTAAATATGACAACAAAACCAAAGTGAAGAAAAATTAAATGGAAAAATATTAAACATCAAAGGAGAAATGTCAAGAAAGTATTTTGTGTCTGGATTTCTGAGAATATCATACCAGAGGAAGAGATTGTGTATTCACTATTACATCATAGTGCTAGAAACAGTATGTAGTAGAGAATAAAATGGAATGACTTTCAAACCAGCCAACATTTAGAAGCAACAAAAGGAGAAGTTGCCAACAATGAAGATGAGGAAGAAACAAACAGACACAGAAGTAAAGCAATAAGAAAATATGTAAAGAAAGTGTGTCAAGAACGGAAAAGTGGCTAAAGGTTTCTGAGAAGTCAAGGACGATAACTAACTACTGCATTTGTCTGCATTGACATCATTCTAGCAAGATCAGGTCCACTTAACTGTTAACAATGATCACAGCGTAAAAAAAAGGAAATGTTTTGTCAAGACCAGACGGAGGCACATGATACCTTTATGTGATTAATAATGTGATATTCTTTTCACTGATAGTCTATGTTTATCCGTCATTCTCATAGACAAAGTGCAGCATGGTGGTGAAAGAGCCCCCGTGTGACAGTGTTGGGCTCTTCTCTTTTATTGTGAGCAGGCGTGCACACCTCATTCAGTGGAAGTTCTGGACCCACACTTCACCTCAGTGACTCAAAGTAAACAACTAGGGAAGTGTATCTGAGGAACAGAACTTCTATTTTTGGTAGGAGGAGATAAGATAGGAACTGTATTCTGCTTCTTTGCAACTGACTTTACTCAGTTCACAAGATCTTACACCAAATTTAATCTTTGATCAAAATGGTATGAAATGTAACTTCAATTTTGAGTTATTCAATTAATATAAAGGTTCTTATCTTTAATCACTCAAATACTTCTTGATTCTATTAAGGGTACATCTTACATTTTTGCTTTGCTGAAGATTAAGTGTTTATCCTGTCATTTCCTCAGAGTCCAAACAAGTCAGCTTACCTCAGAACATGTTATAGCTTTCTCCATATAGGTGTTGTCAAATTCAGATGGCAGGTGATACTCAGGGAAAAAATACAGAAGAATATCCCTAGAAGTAGAAAAACAGAAAAACTGGGAGCATACTACGGCAACAAACACAATATTTACCTGTTGGAACTGGTACCTTGTTTTTCTGGCCAATCTGATTTATTGTGTCCCCTAAGTATTATTATTATTATTATTATTTTTATTTTAATGAACATTTTCAGAGACTTTGGATTTCCATTCTTTCATTGTTGCATTTTTCTCCATCCTTATCCCAGTTTGCTCTTCTCTTTGAAAAATAAAATTCTTTCATTGGTATACAATCTACACCCCCCCACCCCAAAACCATCAGCAATAAGAAGTCTCTCCTGTCGTCTGTCAGTTGCCACACCCATCTTTATCCCTAGTCTCAGCTTTCTAAGGACCTCTTAATGTTTGGAGTTCCCATTGAATCTTTCCTATTTCTACACTCCTCTCCCATTAACTGCCCACTAAACTCATGCATATTCTCTGAGAGATTTAGAAAGCAGTTTCAGCTGTGCAGAAAAAAATGACACAACAAAACTGTAATAGCTATTATATGTATATAATACAATCTATCTTTATTGTAT